TAATTATATTTCTCAAATCAAACAATCTCAATCTAATCTCATTCATTAGAAGAGACAGAGAGAAAGCATTACATAAATTATCATAACTTATGAAATCAACGGGACATTGGATTATCCTCAAGGAATGTTCACTTTGAGAACTTGAGCATTATGACTAAAATATCCATGAGGGTGAACTATAGCACAAATGTACACCCTGTTTTAAGAATCTTCCATCATTCAACTGCAGACTTTCACCTGAGCGTTGGGTACGACGATAAATCCGAAGGACTGTGCCGAGACGCTTATGTCCCCTTTGTGAGGGCTCGGGTTCAAAGGAGGAAGCTCTGGGCCTTGCATTGTGAGTGTCTGACCATTTAGCTTGACCAATCTGAAAAGCAAGAATACAGCTCAATGTTATGATGAATTATGATAATTTTTTTAAGAGGGAGATTTTTTTTTTAGTAGAGGCTTTACGGTGATAGCAACTGCGTACGGTCAAATGAGCGCCAGAAGATTGGAGATGTTGCAAGAGAGTAACAAACATAAAAAAGAAGAAGGGGAGATAAGGACGATAGATGTTTGATTGGAAAGAAGAAGCAAACCACACTGGAGCACCCGCCAACCACCCACAATGAGGCAGAGACTCATAAGACACTTATTACTGAGACAATTCTACGCCCCGACTGGCACAGGTTAGACTATTTAGAAGGTGGGATGCTTCTGTTCTGCTACCCCGGAAGTTGAGATTGTTTTAGAAATCTATCAGGTCTGCTGAGGTAATAATATCGATTGTAAACAGCATAGAGCTTGTTGTTGAGAGGGAATTAATTGCTCCATACAAATGTTATTTATCTCTATCATTTCTCATTTATTTACTCTGCCAGTTAGGACCAACCTGGGCTGAGTGGGGATAAGCATCCCAAGAGACAATTATCATCATGCTTGATAAAAACCTTCCCCATTCGTAAATCGAACTCACATCTTCTGCAAGCGGCACCAAAGAGGCTAACCACTACGCCACAGATGCAAGTCGAATCCCCTATCAATTCACTTTGCCTTCACCTAAAAATTTCAATGACTCAGTACCAACTTCCATTAAATTGAAGTAAATTCATTGGACCGTGCATCTACACCCCATTATTTCTATATATCTCTTTACATAAAACTGTGGGATTGCCAGAATTTCTTCAGTTTGCACTTTTCATTCCCCCTGGGTTTTAAGCACCCCGCATAATTTAGCAAAATTTGACAATTTTTAAAATAATTTCTTATTATTTTCCTTTATCACTCTTTGCTAAAAATTAACAGAATCGCGTAATTTCACATTTTTGGGCTCTTTTTGCATAAAAACTGCAGGGACAGCTTTTTGTCACTGTCCAAGACGTCCACTTGTCAAAGGCAACCATTTTTCTCTCCTCCACAGTGGGAGACCGCCTCGGACAATTTCAACTGAATATATAACAGAGTGGATATGTTTCATTTTCACTCCTGTCCTTACATGTACATAATCAATGTATGGTTGAGAAAGTTCTTTTTTTACTTTTAGTTTTAGTAAGAGTTTTACAGCAATAAGATCATATAAGTGATGAAGAAAAGATTATGTGTTACAAGAGAGTAACATACATCTTCTTTGTGTGGTTGAATTGGTTTTCTTGTTAATGTGAAACTTTCAATCTTGTGTGGATGAAATAATTACGCTCAGTAATCATACGAACGATGTAAAGCGCTCAGAGCCTATACTCGTATGGGATAGAGCACTATATAAAAGCAACCCATTATCATTATTACTTGGAGAGAGGTCCAGCACCATCCCCAGGGCTCAGCAGGAAAAGGTCAAGACTCTGTCCTTCAAACTGGTCCAAAGTAAGTGTGACATTAGAGTCTCGCAGGTTCAGATAGTACAAAACAACAGCTCCTTGAGGATAGTTGTAACTGTGGAGAAATGAACACATCATCAAAAGACGTCTCTTAAACCCCCACCACCCATCCCTCTTTATCAGAGACTCAAGGAACACTTTTTTTTAAAAAATATAGGTGTTTTTAAGCCCCCGTCAACATAATTTGGATTATTTAGGGAACGTTGTACTCAAATAAGTATGATACATTTCTTATTTTATTTAAGAGTTTTACAGCACTTGAAACACAAAAAGGTCATATAAGTGCCGAAGATTAGAGGTGTTACAAGAGAGTAACAAATACAAACAAGAAGGAGGGGAGATAAAGATGATAGTTGTTTGATAGGAAAGAAGAAGCAAACCACAACAGAGCACCCGCCAACCACCCACAAGTATAATACAAACAGAAAGGCTTTTCACTGTGCACACAAAACACATGATCTCAACACTGGGAAGGTTTTCTTATCCAGTGTCTGAGTTTCTCTACCTTTCTGCAGAAAGACAGAATTCCGCACATTCTGTCTCTGTCTCTCTCCCTCTCCCTCTCCCTCTCTCTCTCTCTCTCTCTCTCTCTCTCTCTCTCTCTCTCTCTCTCTCTCCCTCCCTCCCTCCCTCATTCACTCTCAATCATTCACTCACTCTCAATCATTCACTCACTCTCAATCATTCACTCACTCTCCATCTCTTTTCCTTACTCTCTCTCTCTCTCTCTCTCTCCCCCTCTCTCTCTCTTACTCTCTCACACACACATAAACTACTCACAAGTCTCTCCTAACGCAGTGGGCGTACACGCGTAGATGGCTGATGGACGGCTCAAACGTGGCATTCAGGACAGGCCCCAGGATGAGCCTCTTGTAAAGCAAGGACAGGTAGTAATCCTGCAACAGCACAGCACAGTACAGCTACTTTTCATCATCGTCATCATTGCCTCTCTCTCCCTGCACCAGGGTATAGGCAAACACCTTCCACCTTTCTCTATCCTGGGCTAGCCTCTTGATGTTATTCCAAGTCTTCCTACTTTTGTGTACATCGATTTCTGTGATTCTTACAGCTACTTTTACACAACTTATATTAATCTTTAAAACAGTCTCTTCTTTACAATTATCGTATTAGAAAGTTGAATCTCGCCCTGTATCAATACCATTCTTGAAAATGAGATGGGTTACTTATGCCCCCTCCCTCCCTAATTTCCCCTTTTAGTTTTAGTAGAGGTTTTACGGCGCTCACAACTGCATAAGGTCATATCAGCGCCAGAAGACTAGAAGCGTTACAAGAGAGTAACAAACACAACAAAACAAAAAAAAAAGGGGAGAATAGGACGATAGATGCTTGATAGGAAGGAAGAAGCAAACCGCACAAGAGCACTCGCCAACCACCCACTAATTGCCCGTAACCCCTTTTTAGAATCAGAGAAATCAAAGAAAAGGGCAACAACAGTGACCACTACATCGGTCTATTTTTACATTTTCACAAACAAACACATACATTTTCTAATGTGGATAGAATAGATTAGAAGGGAAAGTAAGTACAAAGAAAAACTGATGCTACCTCTACATCATGGAGAATGAGGCTCATGACTGGCACTCTAGCAGCCAGAAGAAGTCCCCTGTTGTTGGACAAATCAAACAATTTGCCTCTCCCGCATTCATTCACTGTGGTCTTTAGTTTTAGTAGAGGTTTTACGGTGCTCGCAACTGCATAAGGTCATATCAGCGCCAGAAGATTAGAGGTGTTACAAGAGAGTAACAAAAACATAAAAAAGAAGAAGGGGAGATAAGGACGATAGATGCTTGATAGGAAAGAAGAAGCAAACCACACCAGAGCACCCGCCAACCACCCACTCTCTGTGGTCTGTTCTACAGTAGCAGAAATAAAACAATAGCAAACACAGATGACACAAAATGAGAACAATATAACATACCACATTAGTATTTTTTAAAAATAGATAAATAAATAAATCCTTGACAACAAAAGAAAAAGAAAGCAAATGAGAGGCAGCGTGGTGGAATCAGCCTCTAGTCAATTTTTGGCCATGTAGAGTTACTGTTATCATCTTAAAGCTCATTCACTTGTCTTTATTTGGATGAAAAAAATATACATTTATCTTGAATACAAGTCAAGATATTTGCGAAAGAAGGAGGTGGGGGTCACCTGTTTTCAGAGGTAAAATTAGTGAGAAAAGGGCCGTCAACGATTAGTTATTTCCTTAGCTTAAGAGTCAATGATTACTGAAAATTTACATTTTTGTGCCTTTCATCAACGCTTTTCAGAAAAATCCACACAGAAATGAGTTTTCAAATGGGCATGAAAGGGGTTGAGCCAAAAAACAAAAATTTGATAAAAATTCACAAACCTGCGGAAAAAAGCAAGTTTCTTCACTTTGATTATTTTGACGAGAACCTGATTCCACCACGCTGCCTCACAAATAAAATGCAGTCGAACCTGCTCTAATGGCCACCTGTCCAAGACAATCACCTGTCCAAACAACTATTGGCACCTCCGCCCCCCCACCCTTACCTTTTCAAAATGGTCGCTTTTAAGAACAAGGAGGCTATCCCGAAAACCACTATTGTGAGAAAATCGAAAGTAAAGTAGTTGCCCCTTGTTCAGTTTCTTTAAAAGACAAGGAGAGTTTTCTCTATAACCAAACAAATATATACACATCAATGAAACCAAACTTCTCCTATAGGTAGAGCAATGCCCACTTTTGGTGTCGTTCAAGATTTCTGGAAACCCCGAAATCTGGGTTAGCCCGCTTGTCCTTAAAAGCGACCAAATATTATAATTACCCTGTCCAAGACATGCATTTATCTAAGACAACCAGTTTTTTCTTCAACAACGGGTGGCAGTCTGAGACAATTTCCACCGAAGATGACTTACTGGGTTCGGATCTAAGTCAACAGACAGCAGCGCATAGTTTCCACGATAAAAAGTCTGCCTGAAGACAGCAGTGACACCCGCTTGGGCACAGAGGCCGAGCTTGTCCAGCCACCTGAGAGAGGAAATTTTATGTCGATGTAAAATACACTGCATGCCCTGAGATGTGTAAGAGCCTGATCTATAAGAACAACTCTGAAAACAAACACAAGACATTACATGTAATTATTCCCTTTTGATTAGCAAAACCATGACGTAAAAGAAAAACCCTGAAGACAAACAGCACTTTTTAAAAGTTTTAGTAGGGGTTTTACGGCGCTCGCAACTGAAAAAGGTCATATGGGCGCCAGAAGATTAGAGGTGTTACACGAGTGTAACAAACATGAAAAAGAAGAAGGGGAGATAAGGACGATAGATGTTTGATAGGAAAGAAGAAGCAAACCACACCAGAGCACCCGCCAACCACCCACTAAGCACCACTTTTCAGACAAGATAGGATTTGAAAAGATATTATAAGATAAGACTCGATGAGGTGAGACGAGATGAGATGAAATGAGACCAGACCAGACCAGACAAGACAAGACAAGAGGCAAGACAATACTTTTTTGTTCCTGTGGAAAATTTTAAGTGAATGCACTGAGATGTGTAAGAGCATGACCTAAAAGAACAACCCCGAAAACAAACACCACTTTTGAGCGAATATAAAAATACACTGCATCTCCTCAGAATCAGAAGAGACTACGTCAATTTGGGCCAAAATGTAAAAAATAGCATAATGGAGGTATTTCAATGATATTCCATCATGTCTGAAAATTTTTTTGAAATCACCTCCTGGGCCAGCTTGTGCCAGTTCTCTTTCTCTCATAAAGTGCGCCATAAATTCACCTCAAAGTCCTGTTGCACCGTCTCTTCATACTTCTACAGGGTTTTTTTACCCCCCCTCCTCTCCCCCTGCAAAAAAAATGAATCCTAGTAGCAAACTAAGAAAACCACAAAAAGTTTGTATATCAAGAAGACAAATACAACAACAACAAAAACGCGTTTGCCACTCACATAAAGCCGGCCACAAACCGGTCCGAGATCCCTGGCGCACCACCTCCATAGCAGGATGAGGTTTCTGTGAGCCGCAAGGGCAGCACGGGCGGGGACTGGCCGGTGAGGTTCAAGGCCGTCTGCAACTCTGTCTTCATCCCGTCCAGCACCTTAGGGTCCATAAACTGTTCTACGGTTGCCGTCCTTCCATCCAGGTAATAGCTGGTGAGAGGAAAGAGGGGAAAAAAACAATATAAACTAGAGAATATACAACGCTTTCCACTGATCTCACTTGGATGACAAGAACATAATAGTAAAAAACAATAGCGAGATTGTGTTTTCTATCAGGATTTAGAACGACTCTAGGCAAAAATATTTCCATGATCAATTGCAAAAAGACGCAAATCTGGAAAAAAGAATACTAAAAAGCCCAAATGATTCTGAAAGGTGAAAACGGAAGTGGACCCTGACACTACTGACAGCAGTTTCCACACACAATATTTTGCATCTCCTTCTTCTTTTTGCACCCCTGCTAGAGCCTAGGGAGTAACATATTTTCTCTCACAGTGCAGTTGATTTTAAGTACATGGTCATTTTATCTACATAGAATACAGAGTCATCCCTAGCTAGTCATGCAGCCACATTCCATTTTTGAAGATACTCTTCATTTATACTGACTAGAGTGGCTTTTCAAGAGATGCACATTCAATACATTTGACAGTCTGGACAAGCCAGGAATTTCCTTCATGGAGGGGCAAAAATTTGATTTTTTTAAAACCCATAATAATAATAATAATAATAATAATAATAATAATAATAATAATAATAATAATAATAATAATAATAATAATAATAATAATAATAATAATAATAATAAATGATAAATGACATTTATATAGCGCTCAACCCCGAATAAAGTACACAGGCTCTGAGCGCTTTACAATATAGTACAACATACAACAGTAACATGAAACGTTGTGTTCTGACTAAAGAAAATTATTCCAAATATTCATCTTATTAATTTAAAAACAGAAACGACTTCAGCTGACATTTGAATGAATCAAAAGATTTGATTTGATTTGATTTAATACTCACTGGTGCCAGCTGGCTGCATCCACAACTTTGTTACCTCCATCCTTCAGAAATCTAAAGAAATAGGAGAGAAAATTGTGAACAATCATTTTGTCTTTAAGTTTTAGTAAGAGTTTTACGCTACTTGCAACACAATAAGGTCGTATAAGAGCCAGAGGTTAGAGGTGTTACAAGAGAGTATCAAACACACAAAAAAAAGAAGGGGAGATAGAGACGACATGACAGAATTTTATAGGAAAGAAGGAGCAAACCACACCAGAGCACCCGCCAACAACCTACATCATTTGGTCTAAAACAATTGTCTGGAAGAGGAGGGGGTGGGGTGTTAAAGACAGGGAGCTTAGAGTTAGAGATTATCCTTAACAACCCAAGAAGAATATATTTATTTTGCCTTACATGACGCGCACACAAGGAAACTTCCCCTTCATTTTTGAACTTCAGACTCACATAGCTGTGGTGAGTAGATGAATAAGTCATAGCTTCACCCAGTGTGCAGTTGTTTGCCGAACTGCTCAATTTGACATGTGATCTATCTTCTCGTTAGGGTCTAGTAATAAATTTTCCAAAAACAGAAGTGTATTGATTGCCAACAAAAACTATACCTGTTATACTTTATGACAAACCTTCTACAGAAATGGATAAATTCAAGAACATTGGCATTTAATTTTCATGTCAGAGACCCCCTTTTCCCTTCCTTTCCCACCTTTACTTTATGTATCAAAAAGAAAAAAGAAAACATTTTTCCAATAGCAGCAGAGGTGACAATACAGTATAATGAGAAATAACAACCAAATTTCACAGGGACATGAGGTGAGGCAAATACCAGAGGCTAAGTGTGACAAAGCTGGAGGAAATGGTCAGGGTCAGACAAGCATGATGATGACTGGCAGTTTAGGGAGAGAGTTTTGGTTTTAGTAGAGGTTTTTCGGCCCTCACAACTGCATAAGGTCATATGAGCGCCAGAAGATTAGAGGTGTTACAAGAGAGTAACAAACAAAAAAAAGAAGGAAGGGAGATAGAGAGGATAGATGTTTGATAGGAAAGAAGGACCAAACCACACCAGAGCACCCGCCAACTACCCACTTAGAGAGAGAGAAAGTAAGTTAATCCAATTGTAGTCAGTATAGAGTTTACTTTTGATCCAGTTGGTTTATTTTTAGGAAATTTTACGTCACTTGTAACACAAAGAGGCCATAAAGCGCTAAAGGTTAATGAGTAACATACAATAATAAAAAGAAGGAGAAATAAGGAACACAGATATTTTGTTTTAGTAAATGTTTAACGGCACTAGCAACACAATAAGATCATATAAGTGCCGAAGATTAGAGGTGTTACAAGAGAATAACAAACACAAAAAAAAAAGGAGGGGAGATAAAGACATTAGATGTTTGATAGGAAAGAAGAAGCAAACCACACCAGAGCACCCACCAACCAACCTCTGACAGATATTTGATAGAGAAGTAGGAGAAAACCACAACAGAGCACCTGTCAACCATTCACAGATCATGTGAGCTGGAATACTGGAAAGAGGTGAAAGGAGCAGACAACACAAAATATAATTTAACAAAATTTGATCATTTATAGCATAATTTCCGATTATTTCCTTCATCATTCTTTGTTAAATTTTAAAATTAACAGAATCGCATAATTTCACATTTTTGGGCTCAATTTGCATAATTTCAAAATTTTTCTTGTATATAACGACGTGGACAGTTTTAAAGAGTTGATGTTTACTGGGTGGGGGCTGGAGAGTAAGCATGTTGTGTGTAATAGGTTTAACTAATTTGTGCATTAGATTGAGCCATGTATGGGTTGAGAGTGTGTGTGTGTGGGGGGGGGGGGGGGGTTGAGAGTGTGTGTGTGTGTGTGTGGGTGGGTTGAGAGTGCGTGCGTGTGTGCGTGTGTTCGTTGGGTGTGTGTGTGGGTGTGTGTGTGTGTGTGTGTGTGTGTGTGTGTGTGTGTGTGTGTGTGTGTGTGTATACTAGTGAGTGTGTGTCTGTGTGTGTGTGTGTGTGTGTGTGTGTGTGTTGGTGTGTGTGTATACATGTGAGTCTGTGTGTGTGTGTGTGTGTGTGTGTGTGTATGTGTCTGAGAGAGAGAAAGAGAGAGATGGACAGAAAGGGAAAGAGAGATATATACAGGCAGACAGACAGAGAAAAGAACATATTTCTTCATGCACTATGCCATCGAAGAAAAATCTTGATGAAAGATAGGTGTAGTTTCATTTGTAGAAAACCAAAACTGATCATTCTCCAACTCAAAATTGACTACTATTTGACAGCGCTACAGAAAACATTCACTAAAGAGCCATTTTAAACAATAAATCACAAAAGCTCAGGGACAAAAAAAAAAGATTCCCGAAGGTCAGGAGCACTTAACAGCTTATCCATCCTAATGATCAGACAATTCTTACTGGGGTTAGAGGCTGGAAAAGCATAAACGGCACGCAGGGGCAAAATTGGGAATGCCGATGTAACTTGTAGTTACACCATTTTACAGTTACAGAACAATCTAACAAAGCAATCGTGCACAGTCATGACTTGAACGGAGGTATGAAGTTCGGTACTGAGAAAGAGTAAAATTCACTAAAAAGAAAACCATCTTTCAACAAGAACATCCTTTTCAAACTTTTGGTAATGTTACTGGTGGCTTTCTCAAATTATGTATATATTTAAGAAATAGAAAGGGGAAACATACTAATGTTTCCCTCTGTTTTCACTAGATGCCATAACTTGGAAGGATAAAGGCCGATCAGATAAGGAGCCAAAAACAGTTTGCATTTATGCGAAATAGCTGATCTAAGACCTATTTAAAACAAAAGCCTTACATTTTCGACCCATGCTACCAAAGTGCACATTTGTCCTAGTTCACTCTTTCAACCCCATCGGACACTGGGAACGTCCAGTGGTAATAACCTTGTTCCCAATCGGACGCTGGGAGCGTCCAATACTAGAGACAACTGTTTCGTATTATTAAGTACTAGTTTTTTCTTGTTTTTCTGAACTATTCCCGAATCAAGTTTTTTAGTAATGACTAATATCAGCCTTTGTTTCCGCTGTTTAGAAGTTGGAGGCAAGCTTTTGGGGTTATAATGAGACAGTGAACCAGGTTTAGGTGACTGTAGAAAAAAACTCCGGGAAACGGTGGAAAAAGCTTTAAAGAGTTTAAAGAGTTAATAAACCTAAAATAAACCTCACCGTAGAAAATGATCACAAAAAAATCGTTTTTGTTCATAATGATCATTAATGTATTATATAAACATATGTGCAATAGTACTTCGTAAATTAAGTTTATCAATATCAAAACTCGCTTATGAATATATAGATTGTGATGGATAGAAAACGGATTTGTCAGCTTTACTCATGGGTGAAATATAATCAGCAGTTAACAAACCATTTTTCAAAATGTCCTAAGATCGCACTTCCAATTCAAGGGTTGTAAAATAATGCAAAATAAGCCAGGTGAACAAAAAAGCCATTGGTTATACGGGTCAGGACAGGGTCTCGGAAGAAAGACTTACTCCAGAAGTAGAAGCCTGGAGGAGTAGGAGTGAAGGCCAGTCACGTCCGGCCCATAGATTTTACTGTTCTTGTACAGGTCAAACTCCGAGGTCAATCGCTTGAGCTCAGCAAAGTCTTTAACTAACGTGTCCCCCGGGATGCTAAAATTGAAGTTTCTCTTGTAAAAGTTTGGTTCTTATTGGGAGAGGAAGAAACAGAGAAAACAGAGAGAGAACATTAAGCTAAACCTCAGAGGGGGGAAAATAAGGAGGCAAATAAACCTCAACACAGAGGACACCTTCACCAAAACACCACAATTCTGTAAGGTGTCATGAAAATAGCCATATCTGACAGCAACAAAAATAGTAAGTGCAAGTGAACACAGCCTGTTAAGTGGACCAAGGAGCCAATCACCCTCCTCCAGATGGGAATAAATTTAGTTTTTTTAGTTTTTTAAAGCGACTAACAACCCCCCCCCCCCAATCCTCCTCCCAAGCACCCCAGCCCCATCCCCCCTCCCCCTCTTGCCTCCACCGCCCCAACACCTTCCTGTCAAGCCATCTCATCCCCACCCTCCTCTCTCTCTAGCCACCTAATCCTCTCTTGCCAACCCCCTCCTGTCTCCCCCCTCCCCCCCTTCTTCCACAACAACCTCCCCTCCAGTCTCCTCATCCCACCCTCCTCTCTAACCACCCCCTCCCTACCCTCCCCTCTAGTCACCTCATCCCACCCTCCCCTTTAGCCCACCCCACCCCCGCCCACCAGAATTCTCTTCTCTAGCAACTCCCTCCGCAACACCATCCTCTGCAGCCATCTCATTCCAACCCTCCTCCCTAACCACCCCCTCCCCACCCTACCCTTTAGCCATCTCATCCCCCCCTCCCTCTTAGCCACCACCAGCCAATCCTTTTCGAACAAAGCACTCAGTGGCCAAGACTGATTATGCCTGGCTCTCCAGTCAGGAACCAAATGGAGAAAACTCTGTGTACTATGGTGAAGACACAGAAAGTACTGGGCCAGTAACAATATAGCACTGAGCATACAACATATAGCTACCTAAATGGTAGCGGATAGTATCAAAGGGTATAAAAAGAGACCCAATTGTCAAACGTATCTTATTCATAGGTTGGTAACATTAAACTCAACTATATCCGAGTTTCTAGAGTCCAAACAAAGAAAACATCGTCCAAAAAGATCAGGCACATCTTTCAGTTTGTTAAACTGGTTGCTTTCATCTTTAAGCTGAGTGTGGTGCTAAAAACAACCCAAATGAAGACCATGCAATTAACCCATAACTTCCATAAATTAGCTCTGTTAAGTACTGGAGCAGCCATCACACAATCTCAAATAAACAAGAAGTTTTATCCTTCCTCTTAACAAACTGTGTTCAGCGTCATCCGGATCCAAGTCATTTAAGATGAACAGAAGGAACAAAAGGCTTTTCAGGCCCACATAACATGCTGCGTCCAACAACAGTGTTCCTCAAGTCATGCAGGAGGCCTTGCACATGGTCGCTTTTAAAGACAAGTGGGCTAACCCATATTTTGGGGGGTTTCCAGAAATCTTGACCTACACCAAAAGTAGGGATTGCCCTACCTGTATATGAGAAGTTTGGTTTCATTGGTGTGTATATTTGTTTGGTTATGGAGAAAACTCTCCTTGTATTTTAAAGTTTTAAAGAAACTGAACAAGGGGCAAAAACTTTACCTTCGATTTTCTCAAAAGAGCATTTTTCGGGATAGCCCCCTTGCGTTTAAAAGCGACCACATATACTCACTGGTCCATATATTTACGAGCACCGACGTGTCGGGATATGCTGGTCACCTCGGGCCCAAAGACAGAGCTTTGGCTGTACTGAGGGAACTTTGCCAGCGTGTCTCTCAACAGCTGCAGGTCTTTCGCGAGAGTCTCAGGAGCAATGCTCAGGTTGAAGTTGTGCTTGAAAGAATTTGGCTCTTAAATGGAAACAAATCCATCCAAAACAGCTGGTCATGTGGCCAGAAAATAATGCTGCTGGTAAAAAAACTACACAACAAAAAGATATACCACAGACTGAAGAATTAAACCAAGAAGCTTTCCCAATGTTCTTTTTTATGGCAACAGAAGTTATCCTTGAATGAATTTGGCTATTGGGAGAAAACAAACAAAAGCGAAGCAAAGTGAAAGTGGCTAAATATATATATTTTTGTAAAAGACCAAGCTTTTGTTAAGAAGTTAAACAAAACTACCAATCGTCAGTTTTACTTAGGTTGCTTCTCAAATATCATACATTATTATGTCAACCTTAAACTTTCCAGAGCAACTTTGCAGCTTAAGATTGGCTAGCAATTGTGTCATGACGTGGTGGAATCAAGCGCTCATCAATTTTTGGGCAAGTGGAGTTATTGGTACTATCTGAAAGCCTATTTATTAATTGCTTTGCTTTACGTGAAAAAAATAACCATCTATCTTGAATAGAAGTCAAGATATTTGCGATAGAAGGGAGTGAGGTCGCTTGATTTCAATAGTAAAATTTGCAAGAAAATGGCCGCCAAGGTTTGGTAACTCTAATAACGAAAAAGTCCTTGAAAACTGAAAAATGACATAATGTATGCCTAATCAATGTTTTACAGTAAAATTCACATGGAAATGTGTTTTTGTATGGACATAAAAGGGATAGAGTAAAAACAAAACAAAAATTTTTAATGCCAAACGGGCAGAAAAATGCCTGTTTCTCCAGTTTCGTTATTTTGACGAGCGCCTGATTTCACCACGATGCCTCACATATATACATATTAAAACAGCGACTAAATTTCAACCCACTGCATATTATTTTAGTTTGACGAAAATAAAAGAGCTTACCATTGCCGAGTTGAAAAGCAGGGATAGAGACATTTCTTTCTGCAGAGTATTTGAGTAACAGCTCTGCATTGCTGGGGTCCCACAGACCCTCTTGCCACCTATGCCACTTGAACAGGTTGAAGTCAAACATGAGATCCCAGCCCACTTTTTGCGCAAATGTTGTGATGGAATCCCACTGTTTCCCTGTAAGTGCCAGGAAAGTGAGATAGAAAAATTATAGACTGCATGCTTCTGCTCACAGTGAGTCGAGTTAAAGCAAAAATAAAGGTAACATTTGAACACCTATACGATAAAAGATTAAAAATGATGAAACAGTATAGGTTTAATGCCCCTATCAACACTGTTAGGTTATTTAAGAGGTGGGACCTCCGAATTTAACGTCCATCTCCGAAAGGACTGAGCCAAGTGGGAAATTCGTGTAAAATGACTTTCGCAAGGACATAATATTGGACAGATCTGGGGCTTTACTTTAACCCCCCCCCGAACCCACAATCTCGTGATTTCAAGTCCCGTAGCCTAACCATTAGGCTACCGATGCAACCACACCTATATGAGGGGAGTTCAATAAGTCTTTACCCTAATTAAAAAGGTACAGTTGTAAAATGATGAAACTCAAAGAATGTGATTTCAATCTTTCCGGAATGCACTGCACATGGTTTTGAAAAATTCCAATGAGCTCTTTGAAATGGAGAGTGATTTTTGCGAAGGTAGTTCTTGAATACGAGGGAAGCTGTGAAAAAAGCTTCTCCAGCTTCGCTACAATGCTTCAGTGCATGCAGTGGTGAAGGCAACTCAGAATAAATCCAAACAGTGTGGTAATGAAATCCTCCTCCAAGAAGCCTATTTACTAACTTTTACCAAATCTTTAAAAAATTCTCAAAGGGCAGTGTTTCCATACTGAAGAAGATCTGCAAAGGAGGAATGGTTTGAGCCCAGTCCAGTGGGCAAAAAGAAAAGTTTTTTCTCTTCATAACAGCTTACTCTAAATACATAAGATTAAACAATACTAAAACTTATCCATTTACCAGTCATAGTATAGTTTGTACTATCATGCAGCTTCGAGAACCCAGCATCCCACAAAAGTCCAGCGTCAAGCATGAAGAAGTCATCCTTATCAGTGATATCAGGAGAACTGGCAGAGTCATCTTTTTTTGAATAAGGATCAAAGGTAAGAAAGTCAGCCGCGGTACCGCCCAGGCGCAGATTAGCTGGGCTGAGGGCAGCAGCTAAATTCTGAAGTTTCTGGGAGCTGAAAGAAAAATATAAAAGAGACAAAATGCAAGGGCCGACGATTTTACTAATACTCAAAGTGGTGGCCGACAAAAGAACAGAAATATAGGGCGGGGAATAAGAAATTCTCAAGAGTTAGACGGTGAGACAAACTGACAGAAAGAGAGATAAATATACAGCAAGCATGTATCTTAGGACTCGCCAAGAATGTGTCGTGTGGCGTCAGTCATGGAAATTTGTGAAATCGTTTGTTCACTTGAAGGGAGAAAAATGCAAAGAAAAAAGCAAGACAAACAGGAATTTATCACATACATAATTGACCTTTCAAAACTAAAGATCTCAGACTTTACCACAATTCAGTCCTCCTTTTATAGTCAAAATAATAATTTTTAAAAAAAGAATTAAAGAGAAAGCAGAAAGAAAAAGTAAGGAAAAGCGGACATAAAGGAAAGGGGACATATAGTGAGAAAGAAGGAAAGAAAAAGATTAGGGTCGCATGAGCAGAAAGAGAAAAAAAAAAGGTTTTATTCGAGAAAATCAACTTCAAATAATAATATCACAAGATTGAACAAGTAATTCACTTTACTAACAGCTACCCACCCATTATGTCATTGCCATTCTTCTACTACAGATAGCAGAGCTAACTTTTGTTTTCATGTATTTTCCAACAATAACAAACATAAAAGATCTTTTTCTCGCAAACTTTATTAATTATATATATATATAATTCATAATTAGGCCCTACCATAAAAAAGAGAATTATATAATAATCAAATAAAATACACTTTAATTCCATTGCAAAATGATCAAAGGCACTAAAATATTATGAACACCGACCTAAAGTCAAATCCTTTCCACTTCACCCTGATTATGCCAGAGTCGATGGTAAAACTCATGAAGTCATCACTGCACACGGCACCACTTGAGCCATTTGTGATCACTCTAACTTTGAATGTGTCTCCACTTTCCACATCTCGATGAACAGAGAATTTCCTCACAGTTTGATCAAAACCACCACATGCCACATGCACACACCACAAAGTAAACCCAGCCACAGTTACGAAGCGGACAAACATATTTGTTGGGTTTGCCACTTTTGTTGCACTTTCCAAAATGATTTCAGTCTGAGAAGTTCAATTCTCTAAACATTACAGTCACCACCTTGCAGACGAACTGACAGCTACCTTAACAACAGAAATAAAACAATGAAAGCATTGGGGGTGACAGCTGGAAGGGAGGATCTCCACAAGCCATGGGAATAGTGTACAAATAAAACAGAAAAGCACCAATGCTCAGCTACATTCACATTAACTTGACACCCCCCCCCCCCTCCTTTAAATTAAACAAAACGCAAAACTATAAGAAACCATAATAAATCACGAAACTGCACAGGACATGGAGAAAAGTGCAATAAACATTTTCAGTTTTGGCTCAATTTGAAATCACAAATGTACAGAAGGAAGATTTGGGGGCTCTCGTGGCCTAGAGGTTAAGGTGTTAGCCTCTCATTCAAAAGGTCCCGGGTTCGAATCTGGGTTGCGACCGAAAAATTTCCTTCTCTAAAATTGTCTCCTTTCACCTCCTTTCCTGCTCTCTAGCAATGTTCTGTTGTCTGCTTTCATTTCCACTTTCTGCCCCCACCCCCTCACCTCCTTTGCCCCTCCTCTGGGCTCCTGACTCTTTCTGCAGCCTTTCTACTGCTACCCCTAGGCTCCTTCTTACTGCTGTCTTTCTGCCACACCCCTGATCTTCTGGTAGGAAAGAACTACACCTAGCCTTCTCGGACAAGGGCGAAAAATCTCGGATGGCATGTGTGCAAGTTGCGCACGTTAAAGATCTCTTGGTGGTCTAAAATCGATAAGAGTAGGCTTCAGCCGCCACCCGGGCAAAATTCAAAATTTCCTACGAACTGAAAATATTAGGTGTGTCCCGCGCGCTCATATGACCTTATGCAGTTGCGAGCGCCGTAAAACACTTTACAAAAACAAAAAACAGAAGGAGATTTCTTTGAAAAGAATTTTTAGAAAAACCCAAGTGTGGTAAGAGTGGTGTTAATCCTCCAAGCGTTGCCAATATTTAGCTTCTTGTGGGTGTCAGGAGATACTATAAAATTTCATCATCATAGGTTGGAAAGTGCAAGAGAAAGGGCAAACTGAGAGAATAAAAGGCCATAAACCAATACATTTTTAGAAAGTAATCTAATGTAAGGAGAGCTCATTTATGAAGGAGCTGAAAAGCTCAGCGATATTACAAACAGGATAAACGAACCGCATAGTGACTTAAATCATGTCCAGTTAAATCGACCATGACATGGTCAAAAATGGCCAATTTAATGAGCCATAGCCACTAGGAAGGATTTTTTTAAAAACCCACATTATTATAAGCATTTTAGGATTTAAAGATAAAAGAAATAAACTCAGTCTTTTTCCAAAATTCCAAGCTCAACTTTACTTCTCCATTATACCAACAACAATGCTGGTCCTGAGCTGCCATTACTGTCATTGAACTGAAAGAATTTTCTATAGAATCAGCATTTTTGAAAATGGCCTTTCATTGAAACAGTTGTACTTTTCTCTGTGACTAGAAAATTGTGGATCCCAGAACAGTCACATTTCACGCTGCTTCCCTGACAAATCAAATTCACTACTACTACTGCCAGTGACGCAGACAGATTGTTAACTCTGTTGCTGATGGGATCCTTTCCACAGCTTCCAGCTATCACGCCCAGACTTGAGCAAAAAACTAAGAGTGGCCATACCCTGTATTGAAGTGAATCCACTCTGTGGTATTCCGAAATATACTGGAAGCGATGCACAAAGACAAAAATGTCATGGACGTCTCATATGCAGACTTGGAAACATTCAGATGAATGTTAAACTTCCACTTCATCGCAGAATTTTTTGACGGTACTATTACATCTGGTCTTCTACTCATAACATATCTTAAATCTGTGATTCTTGGTTTCAAAACGAAACTTGAAACTTGACGTCTTTGGGCCACAGGCAACCATTTTAAGTTTGAATCACCTTTCAAAAAATCTTCAGCCGTACAAACTATGATGATCATAGAGAGACCTAAGACCAAAATCTTTCTCCAAAAACGTTTGTGGTGATGCATTGTGATTCTTCAGCTCTTAGTGGCAAATTAATAGAATGCACAAATATATATACAACGCTTTAGAATTTAAATATCACAATGCACGTATCTGCACTACACTTCTAAAATTAATATCAACTTTGCCTCCCACCTCCCTTCTATGAACTTTGACTTTGACAACCTGATGACATTTCGGAGCTGAGGAGTAGAGAAAATGTGATAATTTTAGATTTGATTTGGCAAGACAATCTGATAAAAATCAATAATGATGAGAGTGTAGAAGATCATGGAAGAAATCAAAGTGATTGTGTAGACTTCCTTGTCATACATTTAGCCTTCAATTTTTATCATTTCTAAAGGCGATCCTATCTAATATTAAGATTTACTGACTGGGGCAAAGGTGTGCAGCAAAGTAAAGTGTGATGCTAGGGAAGATGGGTTAAATTTAATAAAAGCATGGGAAGAGACATAATTTTAATTACAGAAACTAAAGAAGAAATTTCAACTTAATTTATTTGTTGTGTCAATATTAACACGACATGAAATTATATAATAATAATAGAAATAGCATTAATTACTCAATGATTAAGACCAAGGCGAAAAAAAGATCCCATATAATATCTCCTGTCATGTAGGCCTTCTATCGTAATCAAATTTACAGTGGGACATTGTGATCTTTCTTGGGTTTTTTTAGAGTCAGAATTTTGTGAAACTTCCAGAATATAATATCTTTAAATAGGCCTACTAAAGCAGCAAATTATGTATTTGTAACACTTTTCTCCTGTCTTCAATGACTAATTTTTTTTTAAGTCTCTTAGCACAGAGTAAAGAATTTACTTTTATTTCCAAAAGAAAAAGTGAACAGCATGTGCAATAAAAATGACAAAATACAGAAAAGCAAGAATTCACACAATCTGCCAAATCAGGAGCCAGAAAGATATCACACTGTGGAGTGAAAAGACAAGATCTATTGTTATACTAGTGTTCCCATCTTCCTAAATTTATATATCAGCAGCCATTTTCCAGAATGTAGAGCTATATATTACAAAATTACAATTATAAAATTGAAGTTCTTTAATTAACCTGGCCACTACTAATAGTGCATTTTTGCCTTTTTGGAAAAGAAAAGTGTTCCATTCCTATTTCATACTTCTTTGCCTTTCAGCCCTGCATTAAACACCCTTACTTCCCGAGTCTTGACTATAGAGATATTAAAATAGTCTGCGGATATTTTAAAATATATACAAATTAAAAAGTAATTTCCACTTATAGTATAGGCTAGACACTCTCACTCTCGGCTCTATTTTAATAATCATGAAGTAAATCAATACTCAATGCACATATATATATATGAATTGTCAGAAAGTTAAGATTACTAGACTAACTAAGAAGTAGAAGGAGTAAGGGATATGTTGATAACATTAAATCACTCCATCTTTGTCCTTGCTTTTTTTTTTTAATGGCGGGCTCTATTTCTCCGAAAGCTCGGGAAAACAAACTTGAACTCTATTTCTCCGAACGGTTTCCGCTCTCGAAAATTTATTTACGAATGGAGTGGCCCAAGCGCGCGCGCGTGTGTGTGTGTGTGTGTGCAGTGTCCGTGCGTGTGTGTGGGGTGTTTATTTTTCTCGAAAACACTCGAAAACGCTAGGAAACACTAGGAAACACTCGAAAACACTCGAAAACACTAGGAATCACTCGAAATCACCTTTGTACCTTTGGATGAAATCATCATTTTAGTATCAGAAGGTAGCCTAGAATCAAAGATGCTAGAAGGGAGTGTATCTATATAGTGTATACAGACCCGGTAACCGGGAACAAAGTCACAAAGTATAAAGACCCGGTAGGGAAACTCTTTTGTGATTTCGGAAAATTTAAGCGCCCTCTTGGCTCAGGGTAGACCTAGGTTCTTCTAGATCTATGGCCTAGGTCTAGATCTAGACAGACAGACATAAATCATTGATCTAGTTTCGAGGCTAGCCGCTAAATGAAGATTGCGGATGTCTTTTCTATGAACGATTGTTTTTCCTCCGTTTTTGGAGTTGGAGGAATCACAATTTGAAAAAAAGAACAATGTCATAATTTCAATCGAGCAGTCACCCTCTCTCTCTCCTCTGTGTATCGTTCGCCTTCTCTTTTTCTTTGTTTGTCTCCGTCTTTCTTTTTCCCCACCTATTTCCCACTCTATCTTTCTCGTTCCCTCCTGCTAACAGGGGCATGTCATATATATACATTTTGCTAGCACCTCTCTCTCTCTCTCTCTCTCTCTCTCTCTCTCTCTCTCTCTGGGTGGCAAAGACAATTTCGTCATGGCCATGATACGAAAATCAAGGCTTTGGTAAGCGTCCGGGGGTAATGTATCAAAGGGATTTCCAGTGATTCCTAGTGTTTTCTAGTGTTTCCTAGTGTTTTCGAGAAAAATAAACACTGTGTGTGTGCGAGTGTGTGTGAGTGAGTAAGGTGTGAACAGGGGGGGGGGGGGGGGGGGCGAGGTCGGGGGGGTGTGGGGGGGGGGGGAATTTTTTTGAAGTATATTCAGTCAGACATCTGAAAATCTCTTGCTCAAGAAATTGAATTCGATGCAAAAAAATGCTTCTTTCCAGTCCTCGCAGAATGGCAGAATGAAAGATGACGCCGAACTCTCACAAATTTTTTTTTAATCTTGAGAATGGAAGCCGTTCGGAGAAATGGAGGTCAAGTTTATTATTCCCGAGCGTTTGGAGAAATAGTCACTTCGTTTAAAAATGGGGAGGGGGGGGTGGGGGGGAGACAAAGTGAGTGATAATGAAGAATAAAATAAAGAGAAAATTTAATACATTATCAGATTATTCGGACTCGAGTCCGAATATGAAAAAAATGTTATTCGGACTCTATGATTCTTGTCCAGCATGACATCACTTCCGACTTCCTGTGACTCGTGAATCCGGCTTCCTGTCCTGCCTCACTCGTGACTCGCCTCAGGCTGGGTAGAGACCGGGATCACTTTGGGCAAAAAGGCGTTTTGTGCAGGAGCCGAGTTTTAATCTTATGATGAATTTGAGGCCGGCCTGAAAAGTTATAACGCTTCTAATAAATGTTTATTTCAAGAGGTCATCAGAAGCAATTAAAGATGGCTCGTTAGCATGTGTCGGGGTCGGATGGGCGGCCTGCACACGTGTGGCTGTGTGCATGTCGGGGAGGGTGGTGGGGGGCACTATCGGTCTGGGCTTTGAACGTCGCATAAGCGTCGGTCTTTTTCCCCCTGGCAACTTATCATTATTACAATAATAAGCTAGTCTTGACGTAGATCTATGTAATGAATACGTAATGAATTGTGCGCTGGTCTATGGAATCAAAAGTTGCCGTATGCTCAGCTCTACACAGCAACACAACTTTTTCTTGGTAAACAATCGATATGACACAGGCTTGTGTATTTGAAAGAATCGGTCTTTTTTTTTTTTTTTACACAGCTCATAATATGCCAGGTGGTCTGCTAATCTTCAATTTTACCTTTTTCTACAACAATGAAAGTGGGAAACGTGGGGGGGGGGGGCGTATCAATGAGGCGGCGGGCATTGGATCGGCAGATAAGGTGTGGGGAAAACTAGAAAATGGCGGAAAATTGGAAGCACTGAACGTTAGACCTATAGAACGAAGACACTTCCTTTTTTCCGGACCCGAGTCCGAATAACATTTTTTCATATTCGGACTCGAGTCCGAATAAGAATTTGTTTTATTCGGACTCGAGTCCGAATATGAAAATATGTTATTCGGACTCGAGTCCGAATAACATTATACATGGGTGGCTTTAGTCTTTAGCCGACGGAGTGTAAAGTAAAGGCACTTTCTCATCTAAATTAGCCAAAGAAAAATCCTGGAGCCTGCCTCCTCCTCGAAACATTCAACCGGCACACCAACTCAACAAAGTGCAATTGCAACATAATAGATCTATAATAACTAGATCTAGAGATCTAGATCTAGATCTAGATCTATAACCTAACACTAGATCTAGATCTAGAATCTAGATCTATAGTATAGTCTATAGTCTAACTATAGATAGTCTCTAGATCTAGATCTAGATATATCTAGATCTAGAACTAGTTACACCCACACACAGTGCCCTGACTAGAATCTAGTTCTACTGAGAGTCCTGACAAGTGAACAGAAGAGAAATGAAATTATAATTTTATTATTTCACACACAGCACACGAAAATTATGATGCAAGTGTAACTTGTAACGTCTAGAAGTCTAGAGTCTCAGAGTCGAGCAGATCTAGATATCTAGATATATAGATTCTAGATCTAGATCTAGATCTAGATATAGATCTAATTATGTTTAAGGAAGGTTACGCTGATAAATTTCGAATACGTTATAATAAACATCAGCTATCTCTAAGTCATGTGGGGGGCGTCAACACTCTTCACTCTGCTGTACTGTAGCAAGTCACAAGCCTCTGACTCTTTCTTGAGTGTTTCGAGTGTTGTTTGTTTACCCCGGCCCGGAAACAGGAAAAAGGAGAAGGTCAAAGTTCGATTGAAAAGATTCAGCCAAAGAGGTTATATTATTATCATTAGAACTCGCAGCAGTGACGTCACATGTCAGACATGGCGGGCCCTTTTACCCTCATCGGTACCCCCATTTACATGATCTGAACATACTGAGTCCCCATCCTTCTCTCCACGAGCTCTAGTATTATTATGTATATTAAACGCCACCATGCCCCCATATTTTAATGTCAGAGAAAGCTGGTAGATTTTCTCATAAGATCGCCGAGGCGCTTTTCCCTTTCGTCAACCCGCAGCCACCTCCCGAATCGTCAGCCACCCCCAACCTTGGACACGGGTCAAACTTCCATCTATTTATAGGTAGTTAAATCTACCGGAACATGTATTAGGCGAAGTGATGTGCAATGATAGTCGCAATAGAGAGATTGTTTTGGTCTCTCTTTACTCATCTGCACCACACGAATTTAATTGATGTTTTTCCCTAGATCTAGTTGTAATCTAATTGCAGGTTGCAGATTTAAGAAATTGCCGAGAGAGAGAGAGAGAGAGAGAGAGAGAGAGAGAGAGAGAGAGAGAGAGAGAGAGAGAGAGAGAGAGAGAGAGAGAGAGAGAGAGAGAGAGAGAGAAGGGGGAGGAGTAGATCTTGCGAGAACTTTCGGGCAAAACAAAATGGTGACCCGCGTAGTTCGGTCGATTCGAAAAGTGAAAGAGCCATAGCATCATTGTAGAAGATCAAATTAGCTTACTTTTATGCTATAACGTCATTTTCTTCTTTGCTTTTGTCAATTTGATCATCCCCACCGATAGAAAGCATTTCGAAATTAGGAAAAACAGGTCTTGTTTCACACTGGGTGAGAATAGCCAACGCTGGCAAGTCTCACCCGGGGTGAGAGGTCAATCGTAGGGTTTTTATTCTCACCCCGGGCGAGGATAGCCACTTCCTTACTTAAATGATTAGGTGATTAAACTTGATCTCTTATTGACAATATAAAAGTCAATTTAAGCATCATTTCGTTAGAAAACAATGTGTTAGCTTTGCTAACTTCATAGACTTTGTGTTAAACAACACTTTTAACAAAACGAATCCTTACAAGCCTAGGCTTGGCCTTTGTAATCTCGAAGGTTTAGAAGTAGAAGAAGAAGAGTCTACTACTAGAGTCTAGTCCAATTAATTATTTAATCTCTGGAATGTACTGGATAACAACAGAAATCTGCTAACCACAGAAATCTACAACCTGCCACTAGATTACAACTCTAGATCTAGATTCGAGATTTTAGCAAAGGCAGAGTCCAGGGAAAAACTTCAAGAAATTCTCGTGGTGATGAGTAAAGAGAGACCAAAACAATCTCAATAAATAATATATCGCGACTATCACGGCACATCACTTCACCTATACATGTTCCGGTAACTACCTATAAATAGATGGAAGTTTGACCCGTGCAAGGAGTTTAGAACTTTTAATCTCCTTGGACCCGTGTCAAAGGTTGGGGGTGGCTGACGATTGGGAGGTGGCTGCGGGTTGACGAAAGGGAAAAGCGCTGCGGCGAAAAGCGTGCGAGCTCACGAAACTCCCGGGGGGGAATGTCTGCGCGTCAACCGACGGTCAACCGCTGACCTGCTCCCTTATCAGCGCGCACCTGGTGCGGGAAGTGTGGCTCGTTGTTCCATTGTTAGAGGCCATTTAAAAGCTTGAAATATGTTGGTTTGAAGGTGAATGCTTGCGTGTGACCAAGGCCCATACAACCAGACGGTTTTAGAACACTAATCTAAGTCTCACCCCCGAAAAGCCTTTTTTTCATCACGAGGGTGATAAAATCCCAATCCTCTTTGATCCTCCACACTTAATTAAGAATTAGAAACAATTTGTTGATCTACCACAATTTATGTAGGCCTACTCATCATGATGATACTGCGAGCTGGGCAGTTATTGAAAATTTCTCTGAAAAAGACAGTGCCTTAGGTTTATTCAGGGTGGCACCCAAGTTAACCAACTGTGTGTCACGTTTTGGACGACAAAGCGTTTGTTTGGCTGTGCAAAAAAAGCAAAAGCAAATAAATTGGGACACTACATAAATATGTATCTCTGAATTAATCCTTTGTCTGACATCGCTATATCTGATTTCTGTAAAGACTGATGATCCTTTCAACGTTTTCATTTGGTCACTTGTGTCATTCTCTGTCGAATATCGTAACCCAGTAACCCAGCAGACACTTCTGTGGTTGAAAGATAATTCATGAAGTTTGGTCCAGAAGACAAAACGAAAGTTACAAAAGCATTAATATGAGTCAGTGAGAGGATCCACAACATCACTGCTTTGCAAGGTCCTGTGGCAGACATTGTGAGCTGCAATGGAGGATTACTTACAGTGATATCAAAATGAACTTGAATATCTGTTCTCAGTCACCATGAGAGGAAAAGGTGGACATATCTTGACAATCCAGACCCCCCCCCCCCCCCACACACACACAACAGTTACTTTTTCGTTTGAAGAGACAGATAATGGCCGACAAAATTATGATCGCATCGCCTTCAAGCAGTTGCAGGTATGTAGCGGATAGCTTTTTAATAAATCAAAGTCTAACGAGTAAGAATTTCAGTCAAACAATAGTTGCAATTCCGGTAGACCTTGATAAAAAAACACAGATACCTTGTTAATTTTGTTAAATTTTGCAATACATTAAAGATGCAATGCACTTAAAAATGAAATTTCTGACGTAAGTTTTAACACTTTTGAAGACGATGTAGTCTGCAAGGACTGTACAGGGATATTGGAAGATTTCTCATCTTTCCATGCAAAGCACCTGACCCTCATCAGCCAGAAACAATTTGAACATTGTCGTCACGGTGGCTTGAAAAAGCCAGTTTTAAACTTGTGGAATTTGTTTGTTTGTTTGAAGCTGCTTTTTTTAAAAACGCATTTTAAATCTTTGGTGAACAGAGTAACAGTCGCACAGAAGACAGAATCTAAAGCTAAAAATGCCCCAGGAGAAAAATGTAATTGAAAACAAAGGTGATTCCTGCAAATGCAACGCAGTGGACCATAAGTCAGTGTATTTATTAACGTCAGACTGCACGATGATCTTTACTGTGCTGTCAAAAATTCGTTGCGCAACCTGTCCTCAAACATCTCTTTAACGGGTGAATCAATTTAACCTAAACTTTGCACAGCAGTTTGTATCAATTTAGCTTAACGTATTCATATTATTTTTCCACAACAATTGAGGCTATATTTTAAAACGTATCTTCATGAATTTATATAAAATACTAAAATGGGGCCAACTGGTCACCCCACAGCTCGTGTTATAGTCGTGTTATATAGTACCACTGCGTGTGTTGTGGGAGCTCATTAATGCGCAGAGCGACGCGCGCAGTCGCTGACCTCGATTCTCCGACGATGCACTAAGGCCGAAGAAGGATTGCACCGTCTCGGTATTTACGGTCTCTGGTATAGTGTATGTTTCTATATTTAGCTCACATTCCAGGAACTGGTCACTGGTGTTTGGCCAGTGTTTGCAAGTTAGGCTACTGCCAGGCCACATACGAAGCGATTAATTCAGTCCGCCAACTTGTCAAGATAATGACTCGAATGTTTGGTCATCTTTTTCTGTATGTTTGTTGAAGAAAAACAGATAACATGAGTACCATTGAAGTTAAGCTTCTCCGTGGGGATATTACGGGCGTCAAGGTAGGTCGTCGTACGTGTACGTGTGTTGCGCATAACAAAAATGGTGTCAAATTGTAAGTGAAACAAAACCGGACTAGATTCTAGAATCTAGATCTAGTGTCTAGATTAGATCTAGATTTCTAGATCTAGATTCTAGATCTAAATCTGGATCTAATGATAATGTTATTGCTATACGTGTAAAAAGACGCATTGTAACAGAATTATGTCGGGACGTTGAAATTTAATTTTTGAAGGTAATTGGTAATTTTTTACTTTCACTCCCGCACACAGCTGCTTCAGGGGTCAAACTGACTGTCCTGTTTGCTGCAGATCACACATAAAGCCACTAAAACTAAAACTGTCGCAAATCAATTATTTTCATGACAACTTCAAATCTTTAAGGACAACTCTTTGGACTCCATGATAGATGCAGATATTTTTCTATAAATATAAAGTTAGGGAAATGAATTAGAATCCTTAACGAGCTTATGATACCAAAAATTAAAGACTCAAAATCATGCATCTGTCGCACTGTTCCTGCGGTCCCATTTTTCTTTCCTTCTTTATCTTAATGTAAGAAAATAATGCGAGGCTCGAACACAAACATGAAACGGTCAAACTAATTACGCTGCTGTAGAGGTTTCAAGTATATGTCCTTCGAGGTGCACTTGAGACAAAATATAATTTAAAAAAGAGTAAAGGGATAAAGGTAAAGTCGGTAAAATACCAATTCCTTCTCCCCCCTCCACAGAAGCAGCTAGCTATGCTATTTTTAGCACACTGCTTGACAAGCATACCCAATGATTATAAAATACCATGATAATGCAATGGGGCGAAAAGTGTGCGTGGGCATGAAACGCCGGGGAGAGAGGCAGCATGTCAACTGCTGACCGGCTTCCTTATCAGCGCACATCTGGTGCGGATAGTGCAGCTCATTGTTCTATTGTTAGATTCCATTAAAAAACTTAAAATATATGTATGTTGGTTTGAAAGTGATCCAGGCTTGTGTGTGACCAAGGCCCATACAGCCAGACAGTTTTAAGAAAAGGAAGTCTCACACCTGAAAAGTTTTTTTTTTTCGTCATGAAGGTGATAAAATCACAGTCCTCTTTGATCTTCCACACTTGATCAAGAATGTTAGAAACAATTGTTTTGATCGACCACAATTTCTAAGACAATGCCTTAGGTTTACTCAGGGTGGCACTCAAGTTATACCTAGAAACATTTGTGAGGCATCATGGTGAAATCAGGCGCTTTCAAAATAATGAAATCAAAGAAATTGTCACTTTTCCACGGGCATGGCAATTTGAATCGAATTTTCATTTTTTTGTTCAACGCCTTTAATGTATGTAGCCTACATTTTAAAATGAATTTCTACGTGGATTTTACTGATAAATGTTGCTTAAAGGTACAAGAAATATAAATTTTAAGTTTCCAAGGACTGTCAGGCTTTTGAAGTCACCCCGCTTAAGCGGCTATTTTCTCGCTAATTTTACCTCTTAAATCAGGTGACCCACCTCTTTCACTCGCAAACATCTCAACTTTTATTCAAGATAGTTAGGTACTTTTTCCACTAAAAGCAAAACGAACGAACAGTCTTTTCGATTATATCAATAATTCCACATACCCCAAAATTGACGAGTGCCTGATTTCACAGCATCCTGACACATCTGTATGTCAAGTTTTGGAAGTAATAATAATAATAATAGATAGCATTTGTATAGCGCATATCCTACCCCAGCAGACCATAGAACACTCCGAAACATTCTCAGCTTCCCGGGAAGCATACAGTACAAGCAGCCGA